CCTCTCGTATCCCCCCCCCCTCCGCCTTGCTCGCTTTCCAACCTCTCGTATCCCCCCCGCTCCGCCTTGCTCGCTTTCCAACCTCTCGTATCTTATCTAATACATTCCTGCATATCCCCTACATATATGGCAAGTATTGGAGTCCCAAAATTTATTGTGTGGGCTCAAAATGGGTCCCTCTCAAGGCATCATGAGAGTTCAATCACGCTATGCGTCGAAAACACCTTATCATTCAACGTTCCTTCAACGAAGCAATCTTCCAAATTCATTGGTCAATCAGCGATCCTTGCATCGAGTTATTTTCCCGTAGAGCTTCCTCTACAGTATTCTCACCACGGTAGCAATAGAGATTCACCATGAAGCTTGGGATCGATTGGCGCTACGCATAAGATACCAGGATTTCAAAAGATGGCCTCTTATTCTTTTTTCTTCTTTTGATTCTGCTAAAAAGGATAATGACGAGGGGGCTCGCCATAGGTTACAACGATGACTCGCTAGAAGTGGAAAGGAGCCTCAGGTTTACCGTCCACATCATCTGCGGTCTATTTATCCTCCTCAGCTTCGCTGTCACGATCCTCACACTCCATGGCTACGCAATTATTCGACTTCTTTGTCACATGCCATCCGTCACTGAAAAAGGATGGCAAATCAGCTTTAACTCTTTTCCCAAAAAGTTGCTTTGCGAAATAGTAAATACTAAATACCAAGCTTTAGCTTCTACTCAGCATGAAACAGTTTTTGCTACTGTTCCCTTGGGTTGTCGCTCTTCTCCTTGGAAAAAAAAAACGTTTTTTGAATGTTTAGTAACAGCCTCATTTTTTTTTTCTTTTTTCTTTTTTCCCGTATAACAATGTTCTATTGAACTTGTACCTTGGGTTGTCACTCTTCTCCCTTAGGAGGAAAAAAAAAAAAACCTTTTTTTGAGTGTTTAGTAAGCGCTTGGTATAACAAAAGGTTCTATTCAACTTTTTCAATCCATCACAAAAAAAAGATCTTTTTCCAAAAAAACATTTTACAGTATTGCTTCTATTGAAGATACTTGTTGGCCAAAAATACTTGTTGGCCAAAGATTTAAACGCCACAAGAAAAAAATTGAGAACACACACAGCGGTCCTCCCATACCAACGTAGCTACCCGGCGAAATGCCACTGCCAATCTCTGGCATGACAACCAGTCCACCATAGGTTGATCCATCCCAGTCCTCTCGTACTAGGGATGGCTTCTCTCAGTTCTCTTCATCTCCTCTCACACACCCCTAACTAAACTCTCCGCAACGTTTCAGTCTCACGCTCCTTTCCATCTCCCTTCGTAGTAGCTCCTTCGTATATTATTCTATGCCCCATGGCCCCCATCTCTGTCTTTTTCTAATCTCCTATTATCTATTCCCCATCTCTATCTATTGATTCCATTCCGCATTTCTGCGTGGAATTGTCAGAACGAGAATCCATTGGAGAATGAAATCCAGAAGCCGTCAGCCTTCACGGGGAAGACAAAAAAGAAACGAGTTCACAAGTTCACATCAGAACACAATTTCGACATATTATTACATTTGATTACTGCTGCTCCACTACCATCTTTCGCTAACTGAAATGCCTCTTCATCCTTTCAAAAAAAAAGAGAAGCAGATGATGCTCACATGCATCCAATTTCTATTCAAGACGTGGGCGGCCCCCTTCACACACACGGCTACTTTGCAATCCTTTATAGCATGTGTTCCCTTGGGATCCTCACAGACATGCCCGTCCGGGATGCCTAGCGTTGCTTCCGTACCGTACATGGGCAAATGACTGCGCCTAGAGATGAACGGACGGCCGACGAGGGTCCCGCTTGGGACACTGATGAATGACTGTGGCTATGTCTGTGATGCCTCTGTATACTCTACGACAAACTACTCTTCCTCCTCCTCCTCTTTCCCATGCAAGGGGTACAATAAACGACTGACGTCATAGCATGTGTTCCATTGGGATCCTCACAGACATGCCCTTCCGGGATGCCTAGCGTTGCTTCCATACCGTACATGGGCAAATGACTGCGCCTAGAAATGAACAGACGAGTGACGAGGGTCTCGCTTGGGACACTGATGAATGACTGCAGCTATATCTGTGATGCCTCTGTATACTCTACGACAAACTACTCTTCCTCCTCCTCCTCTTTCCCATGCAAGGGGTACAATAAACGACTGACGTAAGGACTAACTGTGATGCCTCGAGCATCCCGTTTGGGACACTGCTGAATGACTGTAGCTATATCTGTGATGTCTCTGTGCACTCTATGACAAACTCCTCTTCCTCCTCACTCCTATATTGCTGCTGCTGCTGCTGCTGCTCCTTCCCATGCAACGGTACCTGAAATTTGGCCATCCCCCTTGTCAACATGATTCCAACTCTTCCTTTACCAGTGAGGGGAAGTGCAAGTGTACTCTCCATGTTCAACGAGTGAAGGTGATTCCCGCATTCAATCCTCCTACAGAGCTGGGTCTTGCTCCGGCTACAATGTCATCAAGACATTTAGGACACGGGATTTATTAACAAATTGAGTTCGAATTCAGCAATGCTCCTTCACACCAGCTGGTCACTCCTATTTTCTCAAGCAGTATTTTCTGAAGCAGTCTCATGCTTCATTGTGTGTGAGCGTGTATGTGTGCGTGTGTGCGTGTGTGTGTGTGTGTGTGAGAGAGAGAGAGAGAGAGAGAGAGAGAGAGAGAGAGAGAGAGAGAGAGAGAGAGAGAGAGA